CTGAGCTGTGAGGGGCCAGACTTATCTAATAGCAGAGCAGGCTTTGGAAACAGGCAGGAGGTTCTGGGTCAGGAGAGCAGTCCCTGGGCACTTACCCAGACGAACCCCTGAGGAAACAAAGCCCAGTGAATCCTGCCCCCAACGTCTCAGAGCTCTTCTTGTCACCACACCTGACATCAGCTGGCCACGGTCCTCTCTGCTACACCCTCCCAGCACCCTGCACCTAGTAGGCACTCAGCAAATGTTTGTTGAATGACTTTAATGTGTGCGTACGTTTGTGGAGCTGTTTCACTAAACTCCTTGCTGTTTGTATCTGGTGTCTAGTTCAGCAAACCTTCAGTGAGTACCTACTAGGTGCTAGTACAGGACCTGACACAGAGACATGGAGGAAGTATCAGATACAAGTTTACAATGTCCTCATCTCCTCCTCTGGACCGTGGGCTCCTGGAGGGCTTTACTATCAGTTTCCAATACCGTGTCCAGAACACAGTCCGTGCTGACTGGTGGGAGTTGAATGTCAAGTTGGGGGTGGATGGGGTGGGCAGGCGCCCTCCAGTGGCAAAAGCCCAGCAGACTCCCTGTCCTGGGTATGGGCCAGAAAAAGGGGCTTGTTTGCCTTGGAAACAGCTAGGAAACCTCTAGAGGTTCAAAATGAACAGGCCACAAGCAAAGGGTGTATCTTCTTCTGGTTTTCCCTGTCCTACTCTTGGAGGCCTGGCTTTGGTGGCACAGAAGGGCACACACACTGGGCACTGAACCCCCACAACAGGAGGCTAGGTCCCATGAAGCAGCACTCAGGGGGCTGTGCCCTGCTGAGGGAGAGGTGGGACAAGACCCCACACGGACATCTCATGTAAGAGGCGGCAGCCCTGGGGCTGGAGTCAGGACCTCAAATAGCTCATCTTTGTGGGAGAAAGAGGGCCAAGGCAGGTGAGTCTGAAAGGAAGGACTCTAGCCCTTTCAGGGTGTACACAGTGGAGGGGCCGGATTCTGGGGCTTGAACCCTGGTCCTGTTTAATAATTCTCTCCACACAAGTGTAGGCTTCCTGAGACGCAGGCCCAGGCAGTGGTGGTGACTGATAGCCATGGAGTCAGCCCTGACTCATGGTGACCCCATGTGTGCACAGTAGAACTGATCCATAGGGTTTTCAAGGCTGTGACCTTTCAGAAGCAGATCACCAGGCCAGTCTTTTAAGGGCACCTCTGAGTAGGTTTGAACCACCAACCTTTCAGCTAGTAGTTGAGTGCTTAACTGTTTGCGCCACCCAGGCCGTGGAGAGCTGGGATTTAGCACCAGACGTTCCTGGACTGAACTTTAGCCCTGACACCTCTTGCTGTGTGACCCTAGTAAGTCACTCCTCTTGCAGGATCTCAGTTCCCTCAACTGCCAAGTGAGGGTAAAACCCTATTTTACTGATTTTAAATAGCATAGTTTAACATCTCCAATTGGAATGAATTACAGAGTTGTGGCATCTTACAGTTAAAATTGGCATTTTCCTTTCTTAGTAGCGTGTAGTTTTTTTTTGCGTATTTTATAATTGATGGTGCCTTAGATACTCCTCAATGTGGCAAAAAATCTGCCTCACAGGATGAACACATCGTGATACCTTAGCCCAGTGCCGAGACATACAGTAGATGCAAAATTTGAAAAGTGGTTCCCTTTCCTCTTTCTCCTACCTCCTTTACAAAATAGAACAGAGAGGGGGATGTGAGCATCTCCTCTGTAGCAATGAATAAATCAGTTCAGAGCATCAGGAAATGTCTGGTTTTTAGAAGATAAACACCCCCTTAACTCCTCTTGGAAACAGGGATGCTATTTATAGAGGCTGCAGAGCAGGTTCAACAGGCCACTGGCTCCATTCTTCCCAGGTAACAGGTTGCCAGGGGCATGGCCTGGTCCACCCCAGGCCTTCACTCACTGGCTTCCTGGTACTTGTTGTATATGACCCGGGCAGGAACCCAAGGGGGTAGCCAGGAAGGTCAAGTGGCACAGAGAGAGGAGCTGCTCCCCCAGGCTGCTCAGACCACTGGAGCTTGTGACAGTGGCTCAATCCAGGCAGGGGGGCTGCTGCCTGGAGAACCAAGTCGTGGGTGGCAAATCTGAGACCTCTCACACAGGGCCTGTACGTGGCCTGTATGTGGCTCTGCCCACATCCAGTGCATAGGGGAAGGTAAGCCTCCAGCTGAACAAAGTCAGCTGGGAAGTGAGAGCTGCCTAATATTCTCAAAACTCTTATCTCGGGGCAGTGGTGTCACTAGGGTTGGTGTCACCTCTCCCTCACATATATTCTCTGCTACCAGATCATACAGAATCCTTATTAATGTTTTTTTTTTTGTACTAATGTTACTCATAAATTATTATTTCCATATACCATTGAATGTAATGGCAGTAACAGTGACAGAAAAATTAAAATTACACCTTGAAATTACAATAGCGTGTACAGATGAAACCACATGATTTGAAGCGTCACTGTACTGGGTAATAATGACAGCTTTGCTTGGACTCTGCTAGGAAGTTCAAAAAGTAAATTAGCATGGAGTTTTAGCCTAGTATATATACTGATACACATAAGCTGGGCTTACAAAAAATGTTTTTGTTGTTATAACTAACTACAGGGATATTTTTATAAAAAATAATCAATTTATGCTGAAACACTACACAAATATTTTATAGACAGCATTCCCTCTGACAGTGTTACCACCCTCCCCCCCCCATGTTCCCTAGTGAAGCCACTGTCTTGGGGCCTCCAATGGCTCCTTAAGAGATTCTGCTGAAAAACTAAAATGTGACCATGTTTGTCACATTTACTAGGGAAAAACCACTAGTAAGGTTCCTGGGTTAAATGCTTAATGCGTGTGGCTGCTGACCAAAAGGTTAGAGGTTCGATTCCACCCAGAGGTACCTCAAGAAGAAAGACCTGGTGATCTACTTCCCCAAAATCAGCCATTGAAAACTCTATGGAGTGCAGTTCTCCTCTTTCACTCAGGAGGTGTCAGAGTTGGAGCTGACTCAATGGCAACTTTTTTTTTTTTTTTTTTTTTAAATAATAAAGGTTCTTGTAGGGGCAAGAGAGTGGGGTTTCTAAAGTAGAGATGGACTCATAAAACCATGAACGTTCAACCAGAGAAGAGATGGTTGGCCCCAGACCTCAAGCACCACTAGGGCATCAGCTGGTTTTACTGGACTTTGATGAGGGCCTGGTCTGACTCTGGCACCCAGCAAAGGTTTGCTGTGTGAACATATACATTCCCAAATGCTCTCCCTCTCCTGCCTCCAGCAGATGAACAGGTGGGGAGTTGAAATAAAAATGATATCTGCTCTTTGCAGCACATCTTAGCCTTTTTAGATTGCTGTGCTGCTCCTGAAGTGGGCAGGTTCTAGGCTTCCTCACGGAGAGGCTGGGAACTGAGAACCAGTGAGGCAACGAGACTTCCCTGAAGGTCCAGTATAAGTCAGGACAGAGACGGAATCAGAACTAGGATGGGAGAAGGGAAGAGCAGGCCTGGGGCATCCCGTCAGCCCATGTGTGCTCCAGGAGTCTGCAGAGAGGAGCTGGGGCAGGAAGTGGGGCAGGGTAGGGCCTGGGTCCCAAGGAAACGGGGAGAGGAGAATCACAATGTCAGCATTTTCAGTTGCTGTTTCAGTTACTGGAGTCCTTAGGTGGGACTACGAAACAGTTAATGCACTACGCTGCTAACCAAAAGGCTGAAAGTTTGAGTCCATCCAGAGGTACCTTGGAAGAAAGGCCGGTAAATCTATTTCCAAAAAATCAGCCATTGAAAATCCTACGTAGCATAGTTCCACTATGACACACACAGGATTACCATGAGTCAGAATCTACTGGACACCAACGGGCACCAATTATTAGTTAACACCTTAATTATCAGTGAACACCTCAGTAATCAGCAGGTAAACTGAGAATCAGAAGAGAGGCCAGTTCCACAGCCATGGTGAGACCCCTGGGAATGCCCACAGCCCCTGGTGAACACCAGGCCTGTGGGTTACAATGGGAGATGTGCAGAGTCCACCTTTCCAACTTCAGATGATTCACTTGCCTCCAGGATTCTTTCCTTCTCCAGGAAAACAGAACCTGCCCCTTGTCTTCTCGAGAGGGGAAGAGTGTCACAAAGAGTCAGGAGACTAAAAGCTTCTACAGTCCGGGTCAAGGTGCAATGTGCTTACTGTTAGGCTGTCTGGGGATGAAGGGGTGACAAAGCTTCAGGCGATGACACAGCCCAGACTTCTGGGCCCAACAACACTCGTCAAAATTCCTCTCAAACACTGAGTAAGAAACTAAAAAAGCGAGCTGTTCTTTTATGTTCTTCACCCACCTTCCCCCCAAGGAGTTGCTGCTTTGGAGCTGTAAACAATGAGTTATTTTTTCCTCCCCTTATAAAATCTGAGTGTCCCTTTTCTATACCAACTAAGGGAGTTCTATTTAGGTTCAGGCTCCGTACATTCAAAACCAGCTACATCACATCCCAGGGAAGTGAACAATTTCTAGTCACGCTAATACCTGGGCTCCGGATTGCACATTCCTCAGTGTTAGATAGCCTCCTAGAGCCAGGATCCCTGTATAAAATACATATGCTTCTCCCGAGTGCTCATTCTCTCACTCACACATTTTCTGCTTTTCTCTCATTTTCTGTCTCCCTCCCTCCCCTTTATACACATTCAACCCAACCCCAGAAAAAGCATTGCACAGACAGAGGCTGCTGTTTCCCTGCTGAAATGTCACCAAGGGGCAAGGTGATCTGCCAGGCAGTTCCTGAGCTCACTCTTGGGGTGGCCTTTTGGGGAGCAAAGCACTTTGAGCCCTTGCCTGGGCTGAGGCCCCTGGGGCCTCAACTCTATAACTGTCAGGCTTTGCCCTCTACTGGGGTGTGGCAGACAATATGGCCACTGCCCTTAGGACTCCCTGGCGGTCATGGTGGTTCCCTGGCCCAGGGGGCTTTCAGAAAGGTGACCTTGCTCCGACAAGGCCTGTCGGCAGGCCAGGCTACGGCCTGTAGATCTTAATGACGTCCTTGATGGGCCTCCGGCAGATGGGGCAGCAGGCCCTAGCCTGCCTCTTGAGCCGTAGGCCACAGCTGTGGCACAGACACATGTGTCCACATGTGTAGATGACCGTGTCCACGTCGCCATCGAAGCAGACTGTACACTCACTGTTCTTGCTGCCTGCTGGCTCCGGAGAGGGAAACACTGGTGACACTGGGGGGCTCAGCGGGGAGCTAGGGGCTGTCACTGCAGAAAAGGAGAATAGGACATGCTTGAATAATGTCATTCTCAGGTGGGCCTGGCTGGGACAACCACAAGAATGCAGTTCTATGGTGGAACCTGTAGTAGAACAATTTTGGGAGATAATAAATTTTGTTTTTCTTCTTGGTTTCGCCTCTCTTCTTACCTCCCTACTAATCCCAAGCATCCAGATAAAATGCCACCCCCATCACCCTTTGAGATGCTACATCTAGGTGTTTCTCTTTCCTCCAGCTGAACATACAACCGAGGGCAGGAGAGGATGCAGTGAGGAAAGGTGGCCACCCTGCTTTAGCACCGAGAGGCCCACTGGCACAGCCAGGGCAGCCAGGCCAGTACCAATCTCTGCCCTCCCTCTAGGGCATGCGTTCTCTTACCCAGAGATGACTCAGATGCCGAGGAGGACTGGTTGACACTGAAGGCCATATCGGAATCACTATCGTCCTGGGAACCACTGAGAGAGCCTGACGGAGATGTGGTCGCAGGGCTGGACTGCAGGGTTCCTAAGACCCAAAGGGGAACCATAGAGGGCTGTGTGAGGGTCTTTGTGCTCTGCTGTTCCTGGCTCTTCACTGCTTTGTGCCCCAGCTTCCCTATCTGTCTAATGGGAGTTCACAAGCTACCTCAGAGCTCTGCTAAGAACTGATGAGATCTTATACGTGTGGAGGACATCTGTTCTTTGCCTGCCCAGGATCCATTCCTGTTTACTTCAAAAATGGCACTGGGTTTTTCTTTGGGGCACACTCAACCAGAGGAAATGGTTGGCCCCAGACCTCAAGCATCACTAGGGCACCAGTTGGTTTTACTGGACTTTGATGAGGGCCTCACAGAATCCAGGCCAGATTAGTAAGAACTTCCACCCCTTGGCCTCAGTGCTGGTTCAGGGAAGGGCATGTAACATCGGAAACAAAAACAGTACTGACCATTTATCAATTGCATAAAGCCTGCCAGGCCTTGAGACCATCCGGTTACTTAGGTCCAGGCACCAGCAACTTCAGCATCACCTCAACACTTGTTACAAATGAACATTCTCGAGTCTCATTGAATAGGAGAACTCAGGTGGAGCCCAGTAATCCTGTGCCTCAAAATTCCTCATGTCATTCTGATGCATGTTCAAGTTTGGGGACAGCTGGGTGAGGAGGTTCAGTGCTGCTGCTGCTAACAAGTAGCCTCGGTTCTCTGGGCGGGAAACTGAAGATTCTAAGGGCGGCACCTCGGGGCGCGGTGGGCACTCACCAAGAAGGCGCAACTGGCCTGCAGCACCGCCTCGAACAGCGAAGAAGGCCCAGAGCGCTTGCGTGGTGTCCACGCACAGCAGGCGCCCGCGTGGGCGCCCGTTGATGCCCAGGAGCACGTCGCCACCAGGCTGCAGTGTGAAGCTGAGTGAATCGCCCCCGCTGGGCACTGGCCCGGCGCGCGCCACCACCCAGTATTCCTTGCGGTCGAGCAGCGCGTCGGGATCAGCGGGCAGCTCAGTGGGCCGGAGCGCACCTGGGTCGCATGATGTGATGCCGAAGGCCAGTGTGCCGGGTGCTGCAAGCCCCGGGCGGCCCACCTCCACGAAGAGGCTCTCGCCAGGCCGCAGCGGACGCTCGGAGAAGACAAGGGTGCGGCCGCCGTCGGGTCGTGGTGCACAGGCAAGTTTGCGGTCGGCAGACAGGCTCACGTCGGGCCCGCGCGTCGCGTGGAAGCGCAGGTCGGCCTCGAGTAGTGCTGGTGATGACGCGGGCCGCGGACGGTCGCGGGGCCCACACGGGATAGCGGCGGCCGCGGCGTCGACAGGCAGTGGGACTGGGGCGCGGCCCAGCGCCAGGTGTCCCAGCTTGGCCACCACCTGGTTGTTCTCGAGTTCGTTGTTGTCAAAGTTGGCCGCGTCATGGCTGCTGGGTGGCAGGCAGGCGCTGAAGCGGGCCTGGCTGAGGCGCGCTGGTGTCAGTGTGTCTGCAAAGGCGCTCTCTGCCGGAACAGAAGAGAGGTGGGCATGAACGGTGCAGGGCGGCTGGGCACTCGCTCCTCATCTGCCAGCCTCGCTCCCGGGCCCTGACCTACCTTCCCAGGTGTAGACTCCACCCCCTCTTTAACTTCTTACTCTTATTTGATTCATTTATGTACTTAGTTGTTTTAATGAACCATAAAAACAACAACAACAACAACAAACCAGTTGTCTTCTAGTTACTTCCAATACAAGGCGACCCCAGGTGTTTCAGAGTAGAACTGCCCTTCATAGGATTTTCAGCGGGAGCTCTAGTGGCGTAGCGCCTAAGGCATTTGACTGCTAATCAGAAGGCTGTGGTTCAAACCCACCAGCCACTCCTCGGAAGGAAGGTTGGGCAATCTACTTACTAGTGATACCGCCTTGGAAACCTAAGGAGGGGTCGCTATGAGTCGGATCCAACTTCAGTTAGTAGGTTTGATTTGGTGGTTTTTATGAAGTACAGATAGCATCAAGCCTTTCTTCCCAGGAGCCTGTGAGTGGATTAAACTGCCAAACTTTCCATTAGCACTTCACAGCTTGATCTACCCAAGGGCTCCTTAATGAACCACAGCTGCACAGAATTGGATTAAGCATGATCCTTGGTTTACTGACATACCCTCATCATTAGGATGAACAGATAAGGCCTTCTCCCTCCCTGTCTTTCTTCTTCTTTTCCCCTCATTTCATTTTTCTCTCCTTCCTTTTTTCCCTCTCTCCCTCCTCCTTTTCTTCCTGCCCTCCTTCCTTTTCTCCTCCCCTTACTCTTTCCCTCAGAGATTTCCATTCTTTCGTTTTATTATATGTCTCCCCCAACCAGAACATAAGCTCCAATAAGGTACTTTTCTAAGCACTCACATGCTAGCTTGTTTAATCTTCACAACTGGGTGAGGTATGCACTGTTACTACTAGCCATTTAGCAAAGGAGGGAACATGCCCAAGGTCACACAAGCTACTAAGTGGCAAAGTCCACAAGCTTAAGTACGTGCTGCTTTGGTGGCATAGTACCTAAGGCATTTGACTGCTACCAGAAGGCTGGAGGTTCAAACCCACCAAGCCACTCCTTGAAAGAAAGACTGGGCAATCTACTTCTGTAGAGGTAACTGCCTTGGAAACCCAAGGAGGGGTCACTTGACGGCAGTGAATTTGGTTTTTGTTTTTGGTTTGCCTTTCAAAGAAGGCAGGGGCTGGACAGGTCTTCCTCCCTATTGAGTCCACAGCATAGAACACAGTGCCTGGGCCATGGCAGATATTCATACAGCACTGAAGGAGGTTTCTGCAAGAGACACACTCATTCTCTAGACCAGAAAATCAAGGGAAAGTTTTAGAAAAGTCATAGTCATGTTGATACTTTTGAATTGTTTTTAGTGATATGGAAAAATGTTCTTGATGTTTTATATATTAGCAGGAGGGCAGGGTCTGTGCCTGTCTGTTCACCACAGTGTCCTCAGGGCTCAACAAAGTGCTTGGCAAATAGCCTTCAGTATTATGTAGGTTATTGAATAAATAAATGGATGAATGACTGCCAGTCTGCAAGAAATTGACTGCCACTCTGATAAGGGGGGAAAAAAAACACCAGTGAAAGATACAAACATTCCAGTTATTAAAGTTATTTTGAAGATTTTTTAGTGATAAGAAAAATATTCTTATGAACCATAAGTAAACAAAGCAAGAACAAAAGTGTTTCTCAGACTCTTTTAAACTAAGCCCCTCCTGCCAAGATTTTGTTAAATGTTACCATTCTGTAATTTATATAATAACAAATTTCTTCCTCTGGTTTTCCAAATATAAAATTAAATCCTAATACAGAACATACTTTTTAAAACTTTATATGCCCAGCTGCCGGTAAGAGCATGTTATCTACGGCTGCTTCACAGACCTGGGTTTTTTTTTTTTTTCAACTTTCTATATGTGAAAAATTATAATGGTAAACAAATAAGATAATGAATGCCCATTACCCACACTGAACAATTATTGATTCATGGCCAATCTTATTTCATCTACACCCTTATCAACTCCTCTTCCTATATTCTTTTAAAAACACTCCTGGACATAGTATTTCATTAGAAAGTTTTCAGTATCTCTTCAGAAGTTAAAGACTTGTTGTCATATGTGCCAGTGCATATGCTTTTGTTTTTACAGTTTTTTTTTTCTAAATTTAATTTTTATTTTCACAGTGTTCCCTTCCCTCCCCTCCCACCCCTGGTAACCAACAAAGTTTCCTTCTATATATAAACCTTTCCTTGACTTTTTACAATAATGAACTAATACAATATTTGTCTTTCTCTAATTGCCTTATTTTGTTCAGCATATCCTCCAAGTTCATCCACATTCTGTGGTGTTTTGCAGATTCTACATTTTTCTTTAGTGTTGCATAGTATTCCATTGTGTGTATGTACCATAGTTTGGTTATCCATTCTTCTGTTGATGGGCACGTAGGTTGTTTTCATCTTTTTGCTATTGTAAATAGTCCTGCGATGAACATGGGTGTGCATGTATCTGTTCTTGTCCTGGCTCTCACTTCTTCAGTAATCCCTAGTATAATGGGATTGCTGGATCAAATGGTATTTCTAATTCCAACTTTTTTTACAGTTTATTTGAAGATCCAAATAAAGTCCACTCATTGTCATTGTTCTTTTAAAGCTATAGTTTGTGTTTCCATCTTTTTTCCCCTTCTTTCATTTGTTTGTTGAAGAAATCACCACCTAGCCTTTTAACTTTTATTTTTATTTTTTTCAGTTAGTGGCCAACATTCCTGAGGCAAAAGATTTCACTTAACCTTGATTTATAGCTTCTCTTGGAAAACTTGGTTTTCTCTTGGTAACACAGGACCTGAATTCTGGCATGGCCACAATGTGAAGCTTGCCATTTTGCTGAAAATGTTTAATAGTCCAGGCCCCATAGTCCTAGCTGGCCCTCTTCACTCACTTCAGCTACCTGCCTGGGCTCTGGGAATTTGGGGATGTACAACTTTAACTTTCCCTTAGAGACATGAGGGAAGGTGGGAGATTTCAGTTTGGTTCTTTAAAAATATATATGTGTGTACATGTGTATCTGTGTATATCATTTATGTACATTGAAAAAGTTATGGAAAGAAATATAACAAAATATTAATGGAAATTACCTCTTGGGGTGAGATTGTGAAAGAGTTTTCATCTTTAGATTTTTCTGTATTATAATTTGTTTCTTACAATAAACATGTATACTACAAAATTTTATCATCAGAAAAATTCCAGTAAATATTATTTTTGGAAACTCAAAATTTCAATGCCTATGTAACAGTGGGGAGATCTGGTGGCATAATGCCTAAGGCACTTGACTGCTAACCAGAAGCCTGGTGGTTCAAATCCACCAGCCACTGCTCGGAAGGACTACTGGCCAATCTACTTCCATAGTGATACCGCCTTGGAAACCCACAAAAGTGAGTTTGGTTTTTTTTTTTTTGGTTTCTGTAACAGTGTGGAAAAATGCTTATGATAAACTGTTAAGTGAACAATAGGATGCAAAACTGAACCAAACCAAACCCACTGCCATCGAGTTGATTCTGATTTTGTTTAATTCTAATTTTGTGGGAATTGCATGCACAGGATACATAAGAAATGAATGTATAGGAAAAACATAAGGAAATACATCAAAAAATACTGAGGGTGTTATCTCTGGGTGGAGGAGGGCTGACTGATTTAAATTTTATTTCTTTATAGTTTTCTGATTTTCTGTAATGAACATGTATTGATCTTATAATCACAAAAGAAAAAAAAAACATGTGTGACTATGCACCACTAAAGAATAATGACCATCTGCAAAACACTGCAGAACATGGATGAACTTGGAGGACATTATGCTGAGTAAAATAAATCAATCACAGAAGGACAAATATTATATTAGTTCATTATTGTAAAAAATCATGGAAAGGTTTATATATGGAAGGGAACTTTCTTTGTTGGTTACCAGGGGTGGGAGGGGAGGCAACACTGCAAACATTAAAAAGGAACAACAATAACAAAAAATGTGTGAAAATATAATGAAACAAACAAACAAACAAACAAAAACACTGCTGTCAAGTTGATTTTGACTCATGTCAGACCTGGATTGGGTTTCCAAGGCCTTAAATCTTTACAGAAGTAGATTGCCTCATCTTCCTCTCATGGAGCAGCTGGTGGATTTGAAGCCCTGATCTTCTGGTTAGCAGCCAAATGCCTGACACACTGTTCCAGAGCTCCTTATAAAGACATAGGAATCTTTAAAAAAGGTATTTCAGACAAGTAGCTGTTTCTGGGAGCCCAAAGGATTCTGTCTCTTGGTGCAATGCACCTTCCCTCTGGCTCCTGGCCCCACCCAGAGGTGGCCTGCCTGGCCCAACCCAAAGGCATCGGCCCTCAGCTTATCCTGGGCCTCTGTTCTAGCCAACACACTCTGCCTCTGCCCTGCACCCTTAATGATCCTTCTCCTTGCCCCAGATGGCTCCCCATAGGAAATCATCCTTTAGTGTACATCCTAACTAAGGGTGTGGGCTGTGGTAATGGGCAGACTTTGGTCAAGCCCTTCTTATCTATGTGACCTTACATAAGTCGCTTCACCTCTGGGAGCGTCAGCTTCCTTCATCCTTAAAATGGGAATAAAAGCAGTATTCCCATGTTGTTATGAAGATCCTCTTAACAGGTGTGATGCAGAACATGGCACAAGGTTAAGTGCTCAAAACATTAATTATTATCATCACTATTCCTTGAACATAATCATCAAAATGCTCTATGCTGGCCCTGGGTAAACAGAGTTGGAGACAGACATGGTTTCTGTGTTCATGGAACTCCCATTCCAACAGGAGAAACCAAATCTAGTGAAGCCATCTTACAGAAGACAGTACAAACTTTCATGAGTGCCATGAAGAGCCACTACCTATCCTAAGGGTCATTTCATTGTGGGAACATGCACCAAGAAATGAAATGAGCCACTCTAGTCCCACAGCTGGGGGGTGACAGACTAGGAT